AAATAATTTGAAATTTTTAAACCCTTTATTTATGTGAACTTAGGTAACAAAGTGTTTTCTATGTAGGTATTCTCTTCATGAATGTTGTGGAAAAATACCAAAATTTATACACCCAAATTTAGGAAAATTATGCAAGCAAAATCTCGTATGCGCATTAGGAAAAAATATTACAACATTTTTTATTGCAAATTTTATTATATTTTTTTAAGCCTTATTCAATAAGAAACAAAAGTTATGCATTAATATTGAGTACTTTTTTGGTTTTTAACTATTGAACAAATTCCGTTTTTAAATTGCAACCTGGTGCAAATTTACACACCTCTGGCATTAACATACATACATATGTTCACATATAGATTTAAAAATTGGGATTCGGCATTTTCTTTCTGGTGAGCTTTCGGTTTGACAGACTTTGAAGTTTATCACACTCTAAATCTTTGGTATTTCTTAAAAATATGATCCGATTTTATTTTCTGAAGTATGTGGACACTCTATACGATAATTGGTCTTAACTGAAACATTTCCCAATAGCTCCCGTTTGATACGTATCCTGCGAAATACTTTTTAATACACACATTTATGTCATTTAACTTTTTCTGAAAGAGGTGGCAACTCTACTCAAAAATATGTTTGGCGTGAATCTTTCTCCAATACCTTCCGTTTGATACCCATATTGCAATATTTGATGTGAATTGTATTAGATATTCATTATTTTTAACTTTTTGACCAGGTGGCAACACTTATTAAAATATTTTTTGATGTAAATTTTCTTAAATATCTTTCTCAAATACCTTCCATTTGATATCTATACTTACTTTACTTGCATATTTAAATAAATTTTATTTTTCTGACAGGTGGCAACTCTTTCAAAAATAGCCAAACTTCACAGGAAAACTCTCCGAGTTTCTATGAAGCTATCCTGGAAATTTTAACAAAATCGGCTGAATGGTTTCGGAGACTATGCTGCATAGATACATACATACATACATACATCCTTTTTTATATAGATAGATTAAGATAATCCCCTATATTAACGTTATGTATGTAGATAGTCACTAAATTCCCTACAGGGAAACCGCGGACTAGTGAATAAAATTTCTAGTTCCGTACTAGGTCTTTATCGCCAAAAAGGAACTAGTCCGATAGGATCTAGATCCCCACCAGTCCAAAATCGGCGAAAAGTGGTACTTTTAAAAAACTAATTTTTTCCAGGGACCGCAAATAACGATTACACTGGTCGACGGCCAAAATTTACCAGAGACGCCGTTATGAAATTCTTATGTAAAATCACCCCTTGATTCCGAAAATCAAGGTTATTTTTAATTTTATGGTACCGTTTTTGAGATATTTGCAATTTACCGTTTTTGCAAAAAAAAAAAAAATTGGGTCCACTTAATCATATATATCTCAAGAACGAATAAAGCAATTCCAAAACAGTTTGAAGCTTTGAAAAGGTAATAAAATTTTCTATAAGCTGCGCATACAACACTTTTTGCTAGGCCCTGTAGATTCAAAGATAACGAACAATCATTACCGATTTTTTCAATTTTTTTTGTAAAAATATAAAAGAAATTGTACTTTGCGGGGAAGGATCTCGAAAACCTTTTATTTTTTTG